AGATCAGTTCAAGCACTTCCTAGTAGGAATTGACTTGACTATTCCTTAATGCAGTAGGATTCCTAACTTAGGAAGGAATAAACAAAATTGCTATCTCCTTGTTTGAATAGAACTCGAAGAGAATTTCCAACTCCTTATTGGAGTAGGATTCCTGAATTTGGCCACAGATTTCTTCTCTATATAAGGAATTCCAACCACAGAATTGTGTTGCTTGTTTCTCAAAAAGGCAAGAGGTGTGAGCAACACTTGAAAGAAAAGCCAAGTTCTACAGTGTGTAAAACACGAGCGTTGAGTGCCATTCTGTGAGAGAGTGGAGTGAAACACGCAAGGGAGTGTTGTGAGGTCCTTTTTATTCTTCTGTTTCTAACATTTGTTGCAGTTTCAATCATGTCAAGCGGTGATGACGAATCAACCACTAGAGGCCACCATGTGGATGAATCCTTCAAGCTCAAAGCAATGCAACAACAATTTCAGAGGCTGGACATCATGTTTGGTGAGATTAAAGACAAAATGGAGAAGCAAGATGCAGCGATAGCCAAGTTATACCAAACACATAATAGAAGTCCGAATTTGCGTATGAATGATGCGAATGATGATTTCGATGACGATTATAAAGATGCATTCAACAATGACGCCCAGAACTCAAATTTCAGCATGGACAGATTTATGAGAGGTAGAGGGGGTCAAAGACATAGATTTAACAAAGGAGACCAAAATCTGGCAAGGTGGGGAGATCGGCAAGATCATGACTTAGGTAGCATCAAGATGAAGATTCCTCCATTTCAAGGGAAAAATGATCCAGATGTGTATTTGGAGTGGGACAAGAATGTGGAATTGGTGTTTGATTGCCATAACTATTTTGAGGAGAATTATTGAATCTGAGATTTTTTGAGAGACTTTTCTCTTTGGTTCGTTTCAGAACTTTACAGAACTTATCAAGATTATTCTTGTGGCGTTCTAACCTGACTTATCATTCTCGTTCTTAATCGTTTGAGGGTGTGGCGTCAACCAACTTTATACCTCTAGTTCTTGTTGCGTCATAGACAACGGATCAAGGTTTTTACCTTTGGTTCTTGTTGTGACATAAACAACGGGTCAAGGTCTTATTATAAACCTGATTTAGCTTTCCTGGAGTTTAGAAATCCCTTGTCGTGCTGTGGGTCTCATTGTTCTCTTTGGGGTTCTCATCACTTCTCTATAAAGGAGTGCTAGGGACATGCTCTCAAACACTCTCTTTTGAACACTTTCTATGTGATTGGGTCATATAGAACATAAATTTAATGTGATTGATGATCAGTGATTAACATTAAAGTTAATGTTTTTAAAATTTAAAATTATGACCAATCATATTAAATTTATGTCACACGTGCCCTAATCACATCAAGAGTATCTAAATGAGTGTTAGAGAGAGTGTCCTTAGTATTTTATTTATTTTTATTCTTTGTCTAATTATCATTCCATTTCTATTATTCTTTCTTAGTCATTCTTACATCTCAATATATCATTATATATCTTTCTTTTTAACCCCAAAATTTTCTATCTTGCCTTCGCTATATTAAAATGTTGGTTAAATGCTTAATTTGGTCTCTTAACTTTATGAAATGCACATTTTTGATCCCTCAACAATTTTTTGCACTTTTTTGATCCCTCAACTATACAAAATGCACTCCGTTAGTCCTTTTGTTAATTTGAGCCGTTAAGTTCGCTTATGTGGCATTTTTTATATTTCTTTTGATGATGTGGAGAGCAAAATTTAGCAAAGCGATGACATGGACAATTATTTTGACATGTCATGTTACTATGTGCTAAATCCATTCAAATAGGTCCCACATCACTAATAAAGAAATTTGTTTTTTTGATGATATAGCATCAAATCTACTCAAATGGGTCCCACATACTAATAAAAAAAAATATCTTTTGATGACATAAAAAATTAAGTGATATTTTTAATATTTTTTTTAATAATATAACAAATTAAATTAAATATTTA